CGTTAGGAAACAAAACTTCCAGAACCCATCCACACACCCTTGAAGACCCACACCAGCCATCATATGCCGGCCGTGAAAGCCTTCGACAATACAAAGGTTAGATGGTCTTTAGTTCTGGCTGGTCTGAGGATTCATGCCCTGGCCAGGGACCTGAAGTAGAAGACCTCCAAGATCCCTTCCAGCCCTATAATTCTATAAGATGCTCTTAGTTTCATTCATTGTAAATGGAAAGGGAGAATCAGAATCCTGCATGGTTTCATGAAGATTTCATAACCACAGTACTGAATGTTCATAAAACGTTTTCATACTGTGATAAACTGCTTAGGATTTTATAATGAGAAGTTGTATATTCATAATTTGACCTGGAAGTTCTCTTTATTTTGTGATGATAATATAACAAATAATTAAAAATATTCTAGTGATTATACTAAATTACTTCACAAATCATGCATGTGGTTGATTTAATTACTATCAAGAATATGTGATATTAAATTAGTTTTAACAAGTTGTTTAATCTTTACAATTTTATGTCACCTAGCTGCTGATGAAGAAGCTTTTGAAGATAATTCTGAAGAATACATTAGAAGAGATTTGGAAGGATCAGGTAATTGTTTTGATTGAGGATAAACAAATTTAGCAGATAAACGTGTGTGTGTGTGTGTGTGTGTGTGTGTGTGTGTGTGTAGATTTAGATATAGATATGCCTTTGAGTTAGTTTTTGAATCCTGGTGACTGCCTAGACAAGTCCCTGCAGTTTTTGTTTTTGTTTTTGGAAGTGGTTTGGCTTTGCCTTTTTCCTAGGGCTGAGGGAGAGTGACTGGCCCAAGGTCATTAAGATGGGACTAGAACTCACAGTCTCCTGGTTTCTAGCCTGATGCCTTAACCACTACACTAAACTGGCTGTCTATATAGTTTTCGCATATCCCTATTAGAAATAAGGATGTTTAAAGTATTCAGTGCATGAACTCTATTTCCAGGTAATCCATGCTTGGGTCAAAGCATGTATGTTCAGTCTGGACACAGGACCAAAACACATGTGTTTCTGATGGACGTAGTTCAGGAGGGGGAGAGTGGAAAAAGGCTGAGGACATCAGCAGAGGCTTACTTCACTAGTTCTTCTTAGCACCCTCCTTTCTCTCCTTCTGTATAGCCACCACCACTGATGCCAGCTTTAAGAGTTTTATATCCAACCAGCCTCTCTGCCTGCCCCCCTTGATATTCCCAGTGCCTGCCTTGCCTTTTCTCCCCTTAGTTGTTGCCAGTATTCTTGCCTTCAAGGACAGCATACCAAACTGGCCTGTTCCCGCAATTTTTCTGAAGGGGTAGAAAGGAAAGCAAGATATTTGGAAGGTGTTGGGGACAAATGTGCTCACCCTCCAATAAAGAGAAGAGAGAACATCTTCATAACTTGAAAGTGCAAAATTTTCTTATCTTAGAATAGACACTAAGTTGTAAGCAATTTAACTTTTGCGGTCCTTTATGCTTCCGTTATATAATGGCTAAGTGTTTACATTTAGTTTACATTCGACTTAGCCCTAAAAGCAGTTTTGTCTGATTACATTTTTCTTTCCTTGCTTTTTAGTATCTATTAATGCTCTCTTAATAGCTTAACAGTGCTACTGCAGTACTACCATGGGACTTATACTTTATCTCCAGTTCTAGAAGTAGCTCTCCAGGTGTTGCTTAATAATAATACCCAGGAGCCCTAGCAAGCATGGCTATTGTGAGGGAGTCTTGAAATTATAGTTCAGCAAATTCTGGATGGCCACAACATCTCTGCTTTGCTTTAATTTAACTAATGCCCCCAGTCCTTCTCAAGTCATTGTAAACAAGTCTGTACAGTGTTAATTCAGAGATCAACCACTTTGAAGGCTTCCTATATATAATTTCAGCATACTCAATTCATGTTCTTCAGCTCTGATCCTATGGAGTATTGTTGAAACTAACTTAGTAGCACATTATAAACCCAACTAATTTCTTATTCCAGGAGTTCAGTGCAGTATGTGTGCATTTAGAATTTAAAACTTACTGATTTCTGGGGCCATAACAGTTTTTTTCTTTTTTTCATTTTCATCATGCACAAGGTGGTGCCAAAGAAGCAACAATTTATCTTGTAGTTTTAAATGATTGACAGTATTAGAGTGCATATATAGAACCTTGAATTGTTTTTGATTGTGCATTCAATTTCTATATTTTAGCACTAATTAAACTACTATATCTTGACAAATAGGCACTTCATATGTTCTCTTTTTTTGTTGTTGTTGTCAGCCTGTCCTTACTAGTTTGGTATGCACAGGTCTTATTTGGTAATATGAAAAGCAGTGTATCAAAATCAAGAGACAGTGCTGGTGTTTAACCTGTCATGCATTTAAATTTTACCTTTTTCTGGTGTAGATATTGATACCAGACGCAGAGCAGCCTGTGATCTAGTAAGAGGATTGTGCAAGTTTTTTGAAGGACCTGTGACGGGGATCTTTTCTGGTTATGTTAATTCTATGCTGCAAGAGTATGCAAAAAATCCATCTGTCAATTGGAAGCATAAGGATGCTGCTATTTACCTTGTAACATCTTTGGCATCAAAAGCTCAGACACAAAAGGTACTTGGTGTTTGATTAGGAATTAAAGGGTACAATAAGATCTGGGTCCTTTTGGGGAAGAGATAAATAACATCAGTTCATACCTTGATTTCTGTCATGTTTCCCTATTTTAATCTTTAGCATGCTTCATAATGGTATGAGCCCACTGGCATATATTGGTTACAATCTTTGAAACCTAAAAAGTGGACATCATGGAATACTTATCCTGGAGATTGCCTGTATGGACACTGCTCACACTACCTTCCACCCATGCTTGAGATGGCCATCCCCCAGTGCTCAGCAAAGAACAGATATTTGTTAACCAATGTCGGGAACTGAATAGCGGTGTCTTAGAAATGATTAGCAAATGAGCAGTACTGGAATTGTGTGAGGTGAAGCATTTAGCAATGATAAGTCCTGAATAAGGGCCAGTCATCATAATGTATAGCTGGAGTGAATAGAACTTTGGTGATATGAAGACAGATATATGCCTGGCTGTTCAGATGATTCCATTTCTTTTCTGCAGTAGAATCAGCTTGGGTAACTTACTTCATTGCAGAGTTATAGGAGATCTCTACAATAAAAACTGTCATGGGCCTGCAGATCCTTCAAAATCTCAGTGTGGCTTAAAAGGAAACTCTGATGAATAAACTAGATTAACCGGGCCTACTACTTGCAGGGCCGCTTCTGAAACCCAGGAGATATTGCTAAAATATTGTGGTTAATCTAGTTTATGCTTGCCCAAATCTCCAGATATTTGATTTAGAGTGTTCATTTGTTCCTACTTCACAGTTTAAACTTTGAAATCAGAACAATAAGGCAAATAACTTACAGAAATTGCTAGATACCATTCACAGTGCATTTCAGCAATGCATATTCAAATAGAAGTATAAATAAACCAATAGACTTTTAAAAGTGATTATCTTGCTTCTCTCCATAGCATGGGATAACCCAAGCCAATGAACTGGTAAATTTGACAGAATTCTTTATGAATCATATTCTGCCAGATTTAAAGTCTCCTAATGGTAAGTTTAATATTCTATGTGAAATATCTTCAATATCTCTAACTATTAACTAACATGGGTATAATTTAAGAGCTGTGGTTATGGAATGCAGAAAATATCTAGGCCAACAGAAGGATAGTGGTGCTATACAGAGAAGCTTGATTTTGGAAGATTTTAGTGTTGTTATAGGTACGAGTAGACTGTTACACATATTGGATTTTTGTAGAGATATGTTCTGAAACATTATTACAGGAAAGGAAACTGCCTAAATCACTAAAGGGCCTTTGCTGATCAAGGACAAAATCCTGAACTAGATGGTACTTGACTGATTATATTCTAAACATAGAATCCAGTGGAAGAATAAGGTTTTTTTGGAGGAACATTTAAGTCTGGTGTATAGACATCTCATACTTGGTTTCTCACTCCTATTTTAGATTATTTTACTGTTTGTTATATCCTTAATTCACCCAATTACTCGTGTTATTAATATCATTAGAGATTTTGCTTCTTTTGTAAATTGGGGAGTATGCTGAAAAACAGATAGCAGACTTAAGGATTCTACTATATATATTTATGTATAAAACTATTTAATTTTTACAGTAAATGAATTTCCAGTGCTTAAAGCTGATGGCATCAAATACATCATGATTTTCAGGAACCAAGTAAGTTTTCATAAAATTTATTTATTTGTTTGTTTGTTTGCTAACTTTGTATGCTGCCTAACTCCTAACAACTCTGTTGCTGTCAGGTTCAGTCCAAAGAACTCCATGAGACAGTGCAGTACAGTTCTGTTGCATTTATTAGCTTCCACCTCAAGACAGAAATCTCTCCAGACTCAACCTAAGTCCCCAAGCCAGCAAGCCACAACACCGTGAATTCCTTAGGGTGGTGCCAGTCTCATCTTCTTAAACTTCCCACGCTCCTGCTGGGGGCTAAGGAAACGCTTATCTCCCTGAGCGTGGCCTTCATAACACCATTCCATCACAGTTGCCTTATCTATCTTAATTCTGTAATGCCCATCCATTCTTGTTGTATAACTGGGAAATGCTGTTTCATAGAATCTAATATGCAGGAAATGCTTGATCTTCATTTAAATAGGAGGTTGTTCCCTTCAGTATAACTCTTAAAGGTTCTTATCTTCAGTACAACAGGTCTCAGGGGCCCTGTTTTCCTGTGTATTATAAAGGCTAAACCCTGGGAAGATGAGAACCAGCAGTAGTTAAAACTAAACAGAACCACTGTGTAAATATGGAGCCAGGTGTACTTCAGTCTTGTCAATACTTGACATTTCTAATTTTACCTAATTCTGAATGTTGGGTTGAGTTTTGGAAAAATAAATATTTAGAGTCTGAAAAGTAGAATGTCTTAAGAGTCTTGCTGACTTTCATTCATTCATTCATTCATTCATTCATTCATTCATTCATTCATTCATTCGTCAAATTTATATCACCGCCCAACTCCCCCACAAGGTGGTTCACAACAAAGCAATTTAAAATCAGTAAAAACATAAATAATACAATATAAAATACAATTATTAAATACAATGAAATCCAAGAGATGGTGATATTACTTCAGCCTGTGACCAGATAATATCGGTCAAAGGTAAGACTAGGGAACCAACCAACCCCAAAACTGACTATTCCCATCCCCACCCTATGTGTGATGACAAAACCAGGTCTCCAGTTTTTTTCTGAAGTCTAACAGGGAGGGGGCCAACCTCCCTTCTGGGGGAAGAGTGTTCCAAAGGGCAGAGGCTGCTGCAGAGAAGGCTTACCTCCTGGACCCCATCAGATGAAATTTTCTTGTAGACGGGGTCTGTAGCATGCCCCGTCTGCGTGACCGGGTGTGACGGGTTGATGTAATGCAGATGAGACAGTCCTTCAGGTACCCTGGACCCATGCCATGTAGGGCTTTAAAGGTGATAACCAACACCTTTGGTTAAAAAACTAATATTTTTTCCAACTGATTTTTTTTAATAGCTGGACAATCTAAGTATACTTTTACTTGATCCATGACTCTAATTTATAGAATATATTAAAAAGCTTCATATGGTTGTGACTAAGCCCTCAGTATTCTGTCTGCATTTTTAAAATACGATGATTAAGACAAATAATAACGTATTCAGTGGACAATAGTGAAATATTTCACCCATTATTTCGATCAGATCATTTGATATTGTTTCTAAAATATTTTACTTATATGTTTGTTTTGTAGGTACCTAAAGAACAGCTCTTGGTGTCTATTCCTCTCCTGATCAATCACCTTCAAGCAGAAAGTATTGTAGTTCATACATATGCAGCCCATGCTCTTGAAAGATTATTTACAATGAAAGGAGCTAACAATACCACGCTGTAAGTTTTAGTCTGGTTATAAATGTGCTACGGAAAACATTTATTTCTTGCTTTCTTATTGCTCAGTTAGAAAACATTTGATTTTTCCCATTCTTGGACTTAGGAGACCCTAATTTCTAAAATTATCCACATTTATGCATAATGCTGATTCTTACATTTCCTAAAATGAAACTTTTGAATTACTTATTGATTGAACTTCAGTTCTAGAGGGCCTTAAAAATAGCATGATTTTCTATTTCTTTGCACTTTTATCCATTCTCTAATGCTACGTACTTTCTCTCTTTGAGAGCAAATCAGAATATTTGTCTCCTCAAGGGTCTTGATGAGTAATCAGAAAAGTGCTGGGGATATTAAAATATTGTCTCCCTTTACAGAATTACAGCTTCAGAGATGGTTCCATATGTTGAAATGCTGCTAACAAATCTTTTCAAAGCTCTGACACTTCCAGGATCATCTGAAAATGAGTACATTATGAAAGGTAGGAGTCTACAAGAAATGAAGAAGTGGTAGAATAAGCTTAAAACTTAAAAGCCTAAGGATATCCTGCTGAATCAGATCAAGGCCCACCTTGGTCTAGAATTTTGTTTCACACAGTAATGAACCAGGTGCTTCTGGGATGCTTGCAAGCAAGAGATGGAAAAACAGCCCTCTCCCACTGTTGTTCCCCTGCAGTTGGTATTTGGAGGCATGCTGCCCCCAACCTAGAAATAATACTGACTTTTCAAGACCAATAGACCTGTCCTCCATGAATTTGTCTGTCTGTTTTTCAAGCCATCTAAGTTAGTAACCATTAGCATGTCTTATGGCAGTGAATTAATTCTACAAACTAATTATGCATTGTGTGAAAACTTCATTTTCTTTGTTCTAAGTCAACTTAACTGGATGACCTCTGGTCCTAGTGTTTTATTACAAGCAGAAAAATTACCCTGCATGAATTTATATGCCTTGATCATACCCTCCTTAGTTATCTTTTTTCCAAACTACAGAGTCCCACATGTTCTAGTTTTTTCCTGTCAGGAAAATGTCCAACCCAAGATGGTTTTGTTTGTTCCCTTCTGTACTTTTTCCATCTATCTATCTATCCATCCATCCATCCATCCATCCATCCATCCATCCATCCATCCAAAACTGCACACAGTATTTCAGATGTGAACATATTATAATTTATATAAAGGCATTCCAATGTTGTATGTTTTATTTTCAGTCCTATCAAAGTGGAAATTAGTCAGGGTGCAAAGAAATTCAGCAGAAAGGAAGGGTGTATATTTTCCATCTGAACTGAGCTATAAATTCTATAACTGATATCAGCCCTACAAGGTCTGTACAGTACAGATCAAGAAACAGATGCCACATAGGCTTAGAATATATCTTTTGAGAGAATCGCCCCATGGAAAACAATTTTGAACTTCTTTGATATCTTCCCCCTGGCAAAAAAATATAACCATAGATAAGAATGTGTATTTTCTGTGATGGAGAGAAAATATTTACCAATAGAAATGCACATGTCTTGGTTTCACCTCAGCCCTTATATTGTATTTATAAATGGTTTCACTGTATTATTCTTAAAGCAATGGCCAAGAGAATGTCCCATAGAAATGTCAGTTTTGTGAAACAGATTTAGCTTTATGAACAGTATAAACGCTTCAATAATTTGACAACCTTATTGACTGGACTAGAGGCTTCACATGAGGTTAATGATAAATTATAGGACTGTTCCATCCATTTGGCTGGTAGAACAAGAGCTAATAGTGGTAGTAGTGAATGCAAGTTAACTAATGCAAGGTCCTTACCCACTAGTCAAAGAATGATTTTTCCTGGGACCTTACGTTCTATTAGTTGTGATGTCCTTTTTTGTCAAAAGAGACAGTTCTGGGCTTTTAGAAACATTTCTGCAAGTTTGGGACTGTCTCAGGCAGTCTTCATGACAATTGGAGTATCTCAGTATGCAGTGGTATAAAAATGTATGTTACTATGTCCTTAGATATTTAGCAGCTTTTTCTCTACTATTTTGTGAGGTCATAGTGATTGCCATTTTATAGAATGGTGACTGAAAAGGCAGGGAGTTGCTCTAGATTAGTCTCTCCAATCTGATATTCCCCAAAATGTAATGACTGTTTTGATTACATAGGATTGTCATCCATTTATCATTTCCTCAAGCTGGAAACAAGCACAAGAATTGTAGCTTCCAGGCTAAATAATTTTTCTTATCTTAAAAGCTCTAAAGCCTGGATTGTATGCTTATTTGAAACTTAACAAACATTAATGTTCAGTTTATCTTGATGCATTGTACAAGATGTAGCATTTTATACAGTTTATAAAATTAGATTACAAAGAATTGCAGTTCTTTCTGCCTTCGTTAATATACATTTCTGAATTTCTAGCTATCATGAGGAGTTTTTCTCTTCTTCAGGAAGCCATAATTCCATATATCCCTTCTCTAATCACTCAACTCACAGAGAAACTGCTTGCTGTTAGTAAGGTAAAGAAAAAGATATTATATTTCAGTTGTAATACCTGTTGCTTTTTCTGTCATCTCTTTCATCAAAGTGATTAGATTCATTGACACTAGTTTCCATACACTTCATGACCAGTTAAAGTAGCAGCTACATTTTAGATTGTCTTTCTATGGAAGAAAGAAGGATATTTGCTAGAATCTGAAAATCTGCTAAAGTAATTTAAGTATTTAGAATTGCTATAGGCTAATACCTGTTGTATGTAGCCCAGATGCTGGATGGCAAAGTAGCGAGGGGGTGAGGGGAGAAGATGCAGAAGAAATTTTAAAACAATGTGAGGAGATTATTATTTTTTCCAATGGAGACAAGATAGTAATATTCAGAAATAAAAAGAAAGCTTTGCTCTCCTTTATCAGAACTGTAATATTTCTTAACATTGTGGAACTTTTAAGATATACAACTGTTCTAATTATTTAACTTATCTTAGGTTAACATTAAGGGTAAACCCCATTCTAACAGTTGCTTCTCTTAAAAATGTACAGCTCGTAGCCAAAACAAGTTGTCTACTCAGGTGTAGATGGCCTGCAGTTAAATGTCTTCTCTTAAGAAGGATTTCCTGATCCAAAATAATGAGTATTTCATAGATGTGGGTTTTTGTAACATTTTTAGTTCTTGTGCTTAGAAGAGAGTAGCTATGGAAAAAGAGAGAAAAGAAATCTTGTGCACTCAACTTTTCCTGTTTTATAAACAGGCAAACATATTTCCAGATAAGTTAGAGTGGAGATCTGCTGTTCAAAAGGTGAAGCAGTTTTTAAAAAATTCTACTAGATGAGCAGAACCCCTTGGGCTGCTTATTGGGATCTTGGCCATTTTATAAAACTTCATCTCATTTTATTTCAGCTCCAACTAAAATGTTTAAAACGTATTATGATTTATATTACAGAAGTTTATTTTTGTTAAATATAAGCAATAGAAGTAGCCAGAACTGGTTACTCCTATGACTCTTCACTCCATATGATTTTCTGAAAGAATACATTTTAAAAGTTGTAGGATATAGAAGATTCCTCTAGATAAGCTATGTCGCACCTCCCCACCCAAAAAGTGAGCTGTTGTATGGCACTACTTAATAGGAGAACTCTTCCAGTTGAGCCTACTTTCAAATATTCATTGGACTTCTGTCTAATGCAATAGAGTACAGAAAAAGCATAATCTTTTAGCTAAAAATCTAAATAGCACTCCAGAAGGGAAGACATACTCTAGCAATTTTAAAAGTGATGTATTAGCTAAAATATCCTGCAAATTTCTTATTGGTATTGCTGTATTTTGTTTTAGCTCTTGTGGAAGTTACTCATGTCTCATGTAGGCATTATTTATGAATGGAAATTGGAGGCATTCAGACTTTCCAGTAGAAATATTTTGATGTAATTTTTAATGTATGATCATCATATGATCTCTGTAGTTTATTGAACTTTTAATATCAGTATGGTAGAAAGTAACTGAGTAATCAGAGACATGTTGATACTTTTCTCTGATGAATCATGGAAATTCCAGAGAAGATTCTAGTCAGATGGAAACTAAATATTGCCATCTGAAGCCATTAATATGATTACTGACAGTGGGGTATGTCAGAGGTAAACTACATGATTTGTTATAATTTGAATAGAATATTCATAGTCTATACTGTATAGTGATCTGGACATTACATACAGTGGTAGACATTTTCCAATGTTTTTTTAATGCATACCTTTACCATTTTGAAGCATCAGTAATCTTGGTCTGTTCATATCTTGCTTTTAGAATCCAAGCAAGCCTCACTTTAACCATTATATGTTTGAATCAATCTGCTTGTCAATACGGATAACTTGCAGAGCAAACCCTACAGCTGTTGGAAGCTTTGAAGATGCTCTGTTTATGGTATTTACTGAGATTCTGCAGAATGACGTGCAAGGTACAAATGAGCCATTAATGAACTAATGCATTGATTCTTCATTTTAAATAAGAGTTATTTTTAATCTGCCTATATCCAGGCCTTTTTGCCTGTATATTGTTGCAACAGTTGACAAAAGGAATCATACTTCTTTGCATAACTATATTATGATTTATAGTCCATCTTTTATTCAAGTTTGGCATGTATACACTATGGAGGTTCAGGGCCACATGTGGGTCTTGTGGAATTGCAGGGCCATGTATGAGCTTTCTAAAAAGGAAATGGCATTTTCTTAAGTCCTATCTCCTGTATTCAGAAGTAAATTTCCTTTCCATAGCTACACCTTCCCATTGTAATCTATCATAAAGTCTTTTAATTAAAATGTAACTTAATTGGATATCAGCAACTACAGATGATCAGTGGAGTAGTGACCTGAGAAAGCATACATGTTGTGCCCATGATGTAGCCTGGGATAGTCAGCCTCTAATCCTACAGATGCTGATAAACATCTGTATCCCACATCATTGACCATGTTGGCTCGGGCTGCTGGGAGTTGAAGTTTACTAACATCACAACAGCCATAGAAGATGAACTGGATGGACCAGCAGTGTCTCTGTACAAGATAGCTTCTTAGAATGCTACAGGAAGCTTGTAGCATGAGCTAACTTTATGGCATTACTGTATATGAATATAATCTCTTAGTCACTAGTCCAGGATATTAACTATTTCCTCCTTTGCCAGAATTCATTCCATACGTATTTCAAGTGATGTCTCTACTGCTAGAGATGCATAAAAATGATATCCCATCATCCTATATGGCCTTATTTCCACATCTGCTTCAGCCGGTCTTGTGGGAAAGGTCAGGAAACATTCCCCCTCTGGTGAGACTTCTTCAGGCCTATTTGGAGAGAGGTGCCAATACAATAGCAAGTGCTGCAGCTGACAAAATTGTACGTATAAACTCAAATGAGGATAATATTTTTAGATTTGTATATGTTTGGGGGGGGGAAGGCAAATCGATTTCAAAATGAAGATCTTGCAAATAAGCTCAAAAATGTTACTTGCTTAAAAATGTAACTAAGCCAAATGTTCTATAGATCAGTGGAAATGCTTGTTGTATTCTTTTCATTCTAAATTTATTTTCAATAATAAATAACAATCACAATCTACAAAAAGGTATAATATGTTAAGCATATATGGAGGTTCCAATAGAAGAGAATATATGTAGCTCAGAAGTCAACTGTGGAGTCCTTGGTGCTCTCTGAGCTTGGTTGTTTGCTTTTCATTACCCAACTAGGTAACATCATCAGCGCGTGTGAGTGTGGGGTTTAATCCCTGTTTATATACCACACCCCACCAAAACTGGCAGGGGAAGCTACTGTATATGAACAGGGAGACTTACTGCCTGGCATTACATTCATTACTGGCAGAATCAAATATTCAGAGCTGTCATAAGCCAAGCTTTTTTTTTTTTAAAGTTTTTTATTTTTTACAACAAACACAAACATACATAAACAAACAAGAG